ACTTCTTATTTCCATTTTGCCTTCTCTACTCTTGCTTGTAGTAAAGAGGTGATAAGCTAATAGTTTCCACAATTGCTTTGGTAGAGCCCTACAGGCTTCACTTCCCATCCTTTTTCACATGGCCTCGTAGCTGTGACTGCCACAGGACTTGATGCTCTGCTTTCCACCAGGGCTGTCCCTTTGGCTTCACTTCAGCTCACTGCTGAGTTGGCAGTGTAATACAAAAGGAATAAAAAGCAGTAAATTATTTCTGTTCCTGGAACACCGTTAGCGGCCATTAAGCCAGTAACAGATGTTTAACTGAAAGCTCAGATAATTTACAGTGTGAAACATTATTTTGGTTGCCACCTTTCACAATTAGAAGTATGTAGTTTACCTGCCTAATACTCAAAGTGTTTGTGGCCCTGTGCAATTAGCTAAAACCTGGGCTGAGAATCAGACCCTCACTCCCTTATGGGATCATAAGGAAGAGAAAGGAGGGGAGAAAAAACAGTCCCAGAGAGCTGATTGAAGCAAGCAAAAATTCATTATGTCTTGGTATTCTACAATATCTATTCTGATATTTTGCTAAGTAAGCCCTTTGATCAGAAGAAATCGAACTGAGCAATAAACAGCTAAAGATTAGATAAGAAGACTCACGTGTCAGCTTGCTTGGAAGCGAAGTATATTTTAGAATATGTTGTCTAGAAACCTTAGAAACAATCTATTATATATTTTTTGAAAGCATGGAATTTATTAGAGAGAAATGGAATTTATTATCGTTATTTTAATGTCTGTAAAAAACAGGATTGTCACCTTTTCTTAGTGTGCAAGTAATTGAGTCATGAAGGCTCCAAATTTATTTTCTATAAAATTGAAAGAGAAAGAAAAGGTCTCAAATTGTGTTTCTTTCTAACAGGTAACTGTACTGTGCATCCAAGCATAGTAGCAGGGGGAGTTGTAGGGCTTTTTTGGGTTTTTTTTGGTGGGACATGGTTCCTGAATGTGTTGGTGGAATAGCTATGTTTTATGCTAAGGATAATATCTTGCTCCTGGGATCTGTGCAACTTCTGTGTAACTAAGGAAAAGGAGAAAACCCAGACTGTAGACACAAAAATACTACATAGATAAGGCATTGGCAGTTATGTTATTTTTGTATATTTCTTACTATTAAATGCTACAGAGAGAGAAGGGATGAAAGCTAATGCATATTCAGAACAAAACCCATTGATTTTCCATATTAAACGGATATTCATTTAATTTTTTGATTGGTGGTTGAGCCAGTGTTTAAGATAATTATTAGAAAATGAAAATTGACTTTCTGGGGGCTGCTGTGTTGCCAGCCCGTGGCCGGATGCTCGGGCAGACTTTCCCCAATTAGCAGGTTGCGTGCCCGTTCTGCTTGGCCAACTCCACAGTTTATGCATCCTACACGTTACCGCAGTCGAGACTCAAAACAGTAAACACCTCGGAACACCAAAAGTGCCAAAAGCCACCTTATTTTTGTTGTTATTTTCTGTAATTATACCTGGGAGGACTGGAGAGTTTTAGCACATTTCTTCCCTCCCTTTCTTTTTTTTTTCCCTTTTTTATGACTTGGTTTTTGCATCCCATAAACCCTTGGCAATGGGTACAACAGCTGCCTTTGGACTTGCAGGAGTTGAGGTCCTCGAGGACGTGCATGTTTCAGCAATGACCAGTCCCTTTTTTGACCATGCCAAGTGTTGTTGGTCTGACCAAGAGAGTGACCATCATTTGTATGGCCTCCTTGAGTGGTGTGGGACTTGCCCTCAAGGGTCGCATTCACTTCTGTGATTTCTCTCCTCTCCTCTCTCTTCTCTCCTCTTTCTATTTTGTGCTTGGCTTCCTAGTGAGCAATGATGTCCTCTGAGCTCTAACTTCTATCTTTTGCCCACTTTTCTCCTCAACAAGCCTATACCAGGGATTGCACAGTTCTGGGGTTTTTCCTCTTTTTTTTTCTTTCTTTACCATGAAGAGGTCAGTTTGGTTTACTTTATGGTAGAAGGTATGAGGCTCTGCAGCGGAAAAGGTGGATGCGAGTTGTTTTCCTAGAGTTTAATTAAGGTAAAGTGGAGTTCCCCCAAAGTTTGTGCTGGTGCTGTCTAATGTTTGATTTGGAGGAAGGCGCAAGCAGTGGGATCGTAAAATCAACACGTGCCCCAAAGAAATTACTCAGTCACATTTAGAAAGGAGGAGAAAGAAATGTGGAAGGACCTAACAAAGATCCGGCAATCTGACATGATGATGAAGCTGTTATTGCAGTGTAATGTGATTTAGAGAACAATGTTGACTATTTGTATATACTGCATTTTAATTCACTGAACCCAGCTGGGAAAAGGACACAGATGTGGCTGTGAAGAACTGAGAAAAAGGATCTTTCCATCACACCACGTTGGCTGAAAAGCAAAGAGATATATGGGAAATGAGGTAGTATTAAGAGAAGAATAAAGAACAGTACTAAAAATAAAATAATGTAAAACCTTGATATATAGTATGTACTTGGACTACTAAATACAGCTTGCTTCACCTCCGAAGGAATATGACTGAAAAGGGAAAAAGCAGCAAAAATCTGAGAGGTGTGTATGTAGGGAGAAAGTTTTAGAGGTGTGGTGTGGAGTCTGAAATCTTCAATACAGTAAACAGCACAAAGTAAATCATACAACTATTCAAATTCCTTTATTATCCAAGAGTAGGGAGAAAATGGATTAAATCTATTTGACTGTTACAACTGATTAGAGAAATTGGTTTTTTTATATAACACACAATTGATTTGTTGTCCACGCTATAGATTGTCATTGACCAACTGCTTTGTCAGTGAATTTTCTGGGAAAATTGTCCACGCTTCATTGAAGGACTCTGCTGAGGAAACTTTCCATTGGCTTTCTTAGCCTAATTTTATTGTGACCTTTCCTAGCTCTTGAACACTATCCTTTGCACAACGCTTTTTAACACAGATAAAGGCATCTCATCAGACACCTGTCTTATGGTATGTGTTCTCTATGTATTTTAGTTCTTCAAACAATTTATTTCACAATATATATTGTGCAACAGTTATTATCGAACTCTTAGGGAACTCTAGGAATGAATTAACAAAAAATCTTATGTTTTACTAGAAGTATGATGTATCCTTTTTCCTTTAAGATTCCCACATCCTATTACACTTTGCTGTTTTCCTGGGTAGATAAATATTCATGTGCATTTCACAAAATTCTTGAAGAGGAGAATGTACATATCTGGTCATATCTGGTTTACTTTCAGTGTTAAACTTGTCAGTGAATTTTGGGCAGGAAGAATGAGCAGTGCAGTTTGTTGGGAATACCTTGTTGGAGGCAGGGTAACATTGGATTTGATGGGTCCCCTGGGGGAAAACTAAATGGCACATTGACATGGAGGAGAGAGAGGCCATGCTTCTGCTAGGAAAATACAAACAATCACTTTTTTTTTCCCCCTATAAAGCAAATATACCCATGCCATTAGAATTACTTTCTGGGCTTTCAAATAAAGTTACCACACAAAGGTATTGAAAGGCAATGTGGATGCAGTCTGTGCCAAACTTGTAATACTTTGTTGCTCTTGCTTATTAAGAGTTTGCTGTAAATAAGCTTTCTAGCTGTATGTCCATATTTGCTTTATGTGGAATTGATAGTCCAGCAGCATGTTTGCCTACAGCTCCTTTTGCTTCCAGCTTTTCTGATGTGTAACATACCTATATTGCTCTGCTTTAATACTGCTGGAATAGTTGTGCACTTGACTGGGGACTGACTCCAGTATCTGCTGGAGAGCAAGACTGGCTTCTGAAGGTGAGAGAAGGGCATCTGGCTGTGGACATCTTGCAGATGAGGAAACTGTGAGGTTTTCCCAGTGCTGGCACAAGGAGAGTGGGGTTGCTGTCCTTAAGGGTGGCATAAGGAGCATCAAGAAAGCTGAGCCAGGCTTTCCTTTTACTACTAAGATAGTGTTGCTGGATGAAAACTAAGGCCCCATCCAAATGAAATTTTTCCTGGTCAACAGTGGGCTATGGACAAGGAGAAAAATCCAAATATCCTCCCCTTGAAAAAAATAACACAAAGTAAACCCCATCCACCAAAAAGCTACAATCCCCCATACTCCAAGTCCCATGTTCCTGAATCTGATCACATACTTCTGCTTCAGCAAAGAAAAGAATTCCCTGAGAACTTAATATTTCAGTTCTGAGATTCCCACAGAGCAGCTGGCTTGGGTTCCTTCACAGAGAAAGGGTAAGCAGTAGGTGATGGAAGGTTTTCCAATTCGCACTGGCATATTCCACAAAGCAGTGAAGGTATAGAAACAGATGTAAATTAATAATTAAAAATAACCCACTTTCACCAATAACAACAGAGAAAATACTTTCCATGCTATGTAAGTAATACATCAACATTTAAGCTGATTAAAATTTGATAAACTACTAACTTTCCCATTTTCTGATAGGAAGGCTGGGGCCCAAGATAAAGCAATGTCATGCTGGGGAGGACAAATACCTTAGCATCCAAACTTTCAAAGCATTTATTTTGTTAAGACTGATCCCTGCTTCCTTTGTAACTCTTTGTTTATTAATGAGTTGACTCATCCAAAGTCCAGCAGCTTGTTTCCACACCAGAGAGATGGATTTGCACCTCTGCCAAGTGGAGTCAGAGGCAGAGATAACAGCCAGCAACAACAAAAGTCTTCCCTGGTCCCTTTGCCAAGAACAATTGGCAGAAAGGACTCGAGGAGTAACTTATCTCCAGCACGGGGAGAGGCTGAAGCTCTGGAAGCAGAGGGGCTGCTGCTTGCCTGCCACAGATAAACAGCAGGCTGCAATCCAGAGCCAACACACGTTGCAGGCTTTACCTGGTGGAGGAGAAGGAGGCAGAGGCATCCAGCAGGTGCTGGAACACTCTGGAAGAGCCAGCCAGTTATTTTAAGTGGTCTGCTGTTAGTACCAGCCTAATGCAGCAGGCTTTTCTTCAGGTGCCAAAGCCACGCTGACAAAACCCTGAGGATAATTAGATGCTGAAGTAAGTGCTGTCCACAAATGCACACACGTCCTTGAGTTGGTTGAGGTCTTCTCATGTAAGTGCTGGGTTTTTCACATGTGAGCAGCAGTCAGGTCCTGTAGTGAGGGTGATGTGAAACGAGCTCACAGCAGTTCATGTTTGACATTTCAACCTGTTTCTTTCCAGTGTTATTCTACAAAATAGTGATCACCTGTTCATATCAATGCTTCTGTGTTTGATCTGGATGATTCTTTTGCTCAAGGGTAAAATTATAGCAACACCTGAGGCAAATTCTTTTACAAAAACTATATCAGATTTTGAGCTTGTAACTGCATTACAGTTCTCTCTGAGAGGAGATCTGTCTGCTAGCTAATCAGAGAAACTCTTCACCAAAATGATAACTCTAAGTTACAGCTTTGCAGCAGATATTGGCATGGCTTTTTGGACAAAAGACACATCTTACCAAGCAGTATGTTGCATGTAACCGGAACACTGATGGAGATAAAAGTTCTGTTATGCAAATCTCATCATGATTAATGAAATATGACTCAATATGTCATATAATAATTTAACAAAATAATTTAACAATAATGTAACAAAATAATATAGAAAACCTTTAGAGTTTAGAGTGGGCAGAAGTGGGCAGAAGCTGGAAATGGTATGTTGTGGATTGTCCACTACAGCTGGCCTTCATACTGCTAAACGCATTTCAGATTGATGAGAAACTGGAGCGGGCAATTTTTTCTGCATCTCTTATATGCCTTATATCAAATTTACTTATTGATATGACTCAATGTCAAATACTGTCTTTCCAATCTGGCTTGGTAGAGATTTTTTTTTTGTTATTTTCCCCTCTTCCCTGTCAATACAGATAGATTGTACTAAGATCTTTCCACTTCTTTTTCTGTTTTTTTCCACAACTTCATCCAGCTTTCTCATTTGAGCTTTTTTTGTACCATGTGTTAGTCTTCAACTTGCAACATGCTTTTTGCAAGGGTCACAGAGACACATGCTTCCCCCCTAAAACTAGTGTTCAATTACAGCTCTACTTACATTTGTTTGATCATGCTACTTCTCACTTCAGATCTCATATTTGGCTTCCATGAAGCATTGTGTCTAATTTAGGATTCTAGTTCCTTCAACACAGGACAGAAAAATTGCTATCAATTTTAAGCTTTAAATTTCCTGGTATTTTGAATTCTAAAGTTAAGCTTTACTGAACTATTAACATTATTTTGGTTTCACAGCAGAAAAAACAGGGGTAAAAAAACACCATGAAGATGTTTTGCAATGAAATTTTTCATAACCACTAGACCAAGAGATGAGAAAGTTACTGATTTCTGAGTTATGAGTTCAGGATGGCAAAATAATGACTTCCTGTGAATCAACAATATTATTATAAAACCTGAACATCCAAAATGTATTTATGCTGTAATCTTTGTCCATGAGCTCAGCCTCCAGCCTTCTCATTCCCATTTTACCCCATCACATCTAAAATCAGACTTTTAGCACCAGAGACCACGCCTTTCCCATATCTATTTTTTTAAGAGTTTATCCCATTTTTGCTTGCTCTATAAATAACTAATAACTAGTGTGGTGCTAAGGAAGGAAAGAAAAACCAGGTACATTAGATTAGAAGGCAAAATAAGAAATCGACAAATGTAAATATTTTTCTTTCAAAATGCAATTGCTCTTGGGAGAAATCAACAAAACCAGTGCTATGAATGAAATCCTCCTCTTCATTGTAGCATCCCTGTTCCTGACTAAAGACTCTGCCATGCCATGCAAGGACATTTGGGACACCTAAATGATGGGCAGAGCAGCACTCTGGGCTGGTGACTGAGAGCCACCTTGCAAGCCACTGTCGGGCAGTAGCTGCAGAGCCAAGGCCAGAAATGCTCTCTGAGCTGCCAGAACCCCTGGTGGGGCTCAGCAGTGCTCCCCACCTTGTTGCTGTGGTGTCCTTCCCTTGTGCCAGGTGCTTGGAGCAGGATTGGTGCCCCGATGGGCTCCGTCAGGTGAAGGTGTGCACAGCTGTGCCAGCACAAGAGGGAAGGGATGAGCGGGGAGAAGGAGGGGTGGGACCACGAGCTCCTTATGTCATCATGACTTTCTGCTTACATCAGCCAGGTGAGTGGGGTCTGAGTGTCTCTTTGCTCCCAGCATTACCCCAGAGTCAACAGGTCAACCACGGCTTTAAAAAACCCTTTGATATTCATTCCCCTGAAGGTATTGGGGTGTTCACTCCACAATCAGCCATGCAAGCATTAGAAATGCTGCAACCTGTTTGTTATTTGATGCCCCTTTTTTTGACCTATTTTTTTTAGTGCTGTGTTATTGATTCAATTTACCTGTTGTGTTTTCACTGTTCCCCTTTCCTTCCCATCTAATATCTCAGTAAGTTTCCTTTTTGTGGCATAATCTTAACTTTGACGAAGATTCAGTTCTGCTTTTCATTTGAATTCTAAGGCTTTTCACAAGAATTTGAGGAAGCTGAAATGCAGTTCTCCATCTTGAATGGATGTTATGCAATTCTATAAAGTGCTGTGGATTTCTTGTCTTATCAGTAGCAAAATGTGGATGAAGAGCGTGAACTACACTTGATTACCAAGAGAATGTAGGAAGAAAGGAAGCTGAACACCTTCTCATAAGATGAGAAGGGAGCATTGTATGGGGACCCTCAGCTTTTTCTTTTAGAATTTTTTATTCACACAGAGCAGTAACACTGGCTCAGAGGACTCTAAGCGGGCCTCTCATCCTTCTTCAAGCCCTTTCTCACCACAAATGTTAACAAACTCAAAGACAACACTCAAATGTGTAGCTGGACCAGGTAGTAGCCCTCTATTTGTTAACAGAGTAAAGGGCTCTAGAAGCTGGGTAGCACCTACAGCTGCCAACTCACATTCTACATGGGCAGGCACAGCTGTTTGTGGTTTTCCCCCTCCCTGGAGCGTTATTTTGCTAGCACCTGGCAAATGCACCTGGTAGGGGTTTCTGGGACTGAGGAACAAACAGCACTGAACACACTCACTGTGCTGGCTGAGAAAGAGCACATGATGTTACCCCAAAATAGCATTTGAAAGTGGCAAAGGCAAATAACCCTTCCTGCAGCTACAGGTCAAGGTGAGAACTGTTCTAATTTAATCCAGATCTATAGGTTTTGCAGAATCTGTCTCCCAAAAGGATCCAAACAGATCAGAAACCTAGAGATCTAAAAGATTGCTTAACTTTTCAACAGATAATTCTGAGCTGGACAATTCCTTCCTACTAATAATTAAATACACTCATGGAATAGCAATTTTCTGTCTTCATTAAGAGGACACCAAGGGCTTTCCCAGAGTTTGAGACATGGTGCATGCATGTCTCAAACTTGCTTTGAGCTTGTAACTGCAAAAATTACAGCCCCCACCAAAAGAAAGGTATGTGTGAGGTGACAGCTTGGTTTGGAGGTTTCAGTTCAGAAGGTGGTATCTGGAAGCTGCTGGACATTCTGTCAAAGCCTTTTTCAGAATTTTAGTATATTTTGTGAACTGATTACATTCCCTTTTCCTTCTTTATTTCTTTGACAAACTTATAAAATGCAATGTCATAAGGCACCAAGCATATCAGAGAGGTGCCTTGTAAGAATGTTATAAACATGCAATGTTGCGCAACCCTGCCACATAAAATTAATAGTTTACACACTAAAAACAGTTCTATTTGTTTCAGTGGGACTTCAGGCATGCCCGTATGAGAAATGTGGCATGCAAACCCCATATCCTTCTCCACAATGTCTCATTTTCTACAACTGCTGAAGATTTAAGCAGCTGGACGCAGTAGGGAGCTGCTGAAGATGGGGGTAAGGCAAAGCCCTGGGTGTCAATGTGCCCTCCAACCTTGTGAAAGCTTGGGCATGTATCTCAAATTTATGGCTGGGGTTCCAATGAGCAGTAATTGTTGTAATTGGAGTCCAAGAGCAGTAGTTGCTGTGCTAGAGTACCTGAAATAGTGAAGTCTCCTTTCACTGTCAGGTGCTGAGCACGCAGAGGCTTGGAGGGGTGGCTCACTGCAATAATCTGGTTACAAGTGTTGACTTATGGAGCTCTGTCAAGGAACTGCACTTCCTTCTTCTGCTGCCTGAACTTTATCTGTAAACAGAGGCCCCAAGCCAGGTGTCTCTGTGGCAAGAAATGTTAAGAGTGACAGCAGATATTACAAAGCTTATTTCTTAGCATGATTTCTCATAATCACATTGTAAAATCCATGTTTTCATATTTTGCTACACAGTAGGAATGTCCAAGTAGAGTTGTTTAAGAGGTGTAACTTCACCCTAGTTTCAGTGACTATAAAGAACCGGAAACAACTTAAAGGAAGAAAGAAGCAAAAGTTAACCCTATGCTAGAAGTTGTTCCTGCATTTGCTAGCTGGAGTGCTCAATAAAACTTATTTGCTATTTATATATTTTTTCCAATGTAATTTGCAAGTATTCATAAATCAATCCTTACAACACTCTTGTGGATTGAGTACAAATTTCTTGTCAACTAAGCAAAAGTACAGACTTGTCACTGTACAGTGGCTCATTAGGAAGATGTTGAACTTATTGTGCCACTCCAGACCTGGTAGCACTGCATCCAAACTTCTGGTTTGGATCCTTTGGCTGATGGCCACTGAGGTACCTTTGCACATACAGTGCCTGTCTGCCAGGAGTGCTGGAGACTCGAGCCAGCTGCCTGTCAGTCAAACACTGACTATAAAAGATCAACTTTAAAGCAGGATCTGCCATTAAAAAATAACTTCCACGTCCAAACAAGCCTTATGTACACAGCCTTATCTAGAGAACCCTAGATTGCCTCCACTCTGAGATAACAAAGAAACCTTAGCCAGGACCACATTTCAGTGGATGAAACGAGTGCCTGTGTCAGGTGCTGCCCGGTCAAGGAGGATCTGCTCTGTATCAAACAGGATCCAGAGCCTGTAAACCCATGGATAGCTCCTGCATGCCTTGAGGCACAGCCAAAATGTCTTTCTCTTCTTGTGTTAAGGCCAAAATGCTTTTCCCAGGCAGCATTCATGCAGATCCATCTCATTCGCACATGGAGGAAAAAGGTGGTTTCATGAATTTTTTTATGCCCTGTCATTTTAAGGTGGTTAATTCAAAGTCTGAGATTCCTTTTTTTACTGAAAGCTCTTTCAGGTCCTAGAACCAGGCAGATATCTCCAATCAAAGGAAGTCCATCACACGAATCTCTGAGTAGAAACATTCCTTGGCACATAAGCCTTAATGGTGAATGTTCAAAATTTCTTTATGGTTGTTTTCATTGGAATACCTTGAAGCAGGGGTACTCTGTAGTCAGGACACACAGCCCTGTTCTTTGCTTGAGTAATTTCAGATTTACAATAGAATTCATTTAAACTTATGTAGAATGGATTCATTTTATCTAAATGAAGAGTCTAACTGTCAAGTGGACAAGTGTTTCATGTTAACCCTGGGGTTCCTCTCTCTCCGGGCCCTATCATCCAAAACATGCTTAGCCCTTGCCTGTTATTTTCCTAATGTATGTGGAGCACAGTGCCAAACCGAGATAGTGATTCAAAGTTAAGTAAATATTCCTGAAGAATTTAATATTCATTGAACTTAACCTAGCAATTTGAATAAAAAATTTATCCACTGTGTAGGGTGTCTTGCTGGTGTGAGAGTAAAGGTTCTTTCCTTCCTTTCCAGTGTGAGAAGGGCACTTGGTTTGTTGTTTCCTCCTGTGTCCCATGCCAGCAGGAATGGCTGTTAAATGCCTACATTGTGTTGTTGACTTAGTGATATGATCTGTTTGCCATCAGGGACTCCACGTAGTGCTTTGTACACATGAAAAATAAGAAGTTATGGCTTCATTTCTGCTGTTTGCAAAGGTTGAGAGCTCTTTAGTGTGACAAAAAATCAGACCCTGAGGCAATTGCTGGTTTTGAGTACATGAGATCATTGATCAGCATACAGAATACAAGTTCAGTAAGTGATATGTGAGGATACATTCATTTTTAATGTTGTAAAAACAGAGCGAGATTCTCCCCTCCCTCTTTTTCAAACAAAAAGTTGAGTAGCAGAAGAGGTGGGGGAAAAGGCACTTTATTTACTGGAAAGCTCAGAGAGAATGAAACTTTAGAGAGGCTTTTGCTGTCTTTGAGAGGAATATTATGACCTGCAACAGAGCATGAGGAACTGGCAGTACTCCCTGGTGAAGGGTTTTCAGTTACGGTGGCTTCACAAAAACCTGAATTTTGATAGGTTGATGCAGGCTGAATGTACCCGGACTGCTCTTGGTACCTCCTTGTTTCTGATCAAATGGAATGTTCTGCTTGAGATGGAGGGGAAAAAAAAAGATTAAATTGTTCAATGGTTGGTGGTAGGATATTCTAAGTCATCAGTAACTTCTGTTGCTCCAGCCTCTTTGCAAGCTACTGCTGTTTTCCTGTAGGATGCCACACTGGAATCCATGTGCTTTAGTGACAAATTCAGCATTATGTATGAATAACCGATTGCCCATCCTTCATTTTCAGAATTTAAGTGGGAAGAGAGAATAGTTAACTACGCAATTTCAGAGTAGCTGCCCTTGTGTGGTTGGTTGCATAAGAGTTTCTATAAAATCTAAATTGTTCAAAATATATAGAGCTGAAACTGTGTAATTATAAAACTGTGTAGCTGTGTAATTATAATATTTTATTTTTTCTACATGCAGAGCTTCAACTAAGAGAAATATTTATTTAATGTTTTCTTGCAGTAAACACACATACAGTCTATGTGTCAGCAAGATGGCAATGGAGGAAGGGTTTGCTTTTTATCACATAGACTGAGCCCTCACAGAAAATGCAGCACGTTTAGTTTTGTTAAACTGCTTGAGGTACCTCAGATTTTCATTGAGAGCATCAGCTCAGAAAATTAATTTCTCCCTAGCTGAGTGCCTAAAGCTACAGTCACTGATTTAGTCGTATTTACCCAAGGATTAGGTCAAAAATATAGATACCTAATACTTTTCTAGCACACCAAATCCACTAGAAACATGATCATGTGTCATGAAATGAGATAAG